CCCCTCTGTGGCAAAGGGGTGCCACGTAAGGTCTCTGCTTTGTCATTTTCAATGTTCTGAGGCTAGGATCTGATTAGCCTTGTCCACATTGCTATTGGTTCTTGTAGTAGGCTTGTGGCCACTCTTTAGACACTGGACCTGGTCCTTACCCATATCTAAGTTCAGCTCATACTGAACTTCAGTCAGTGTATAGACCTGCCTGGGTGAAGCTCCTGTACAGAACTGCCAGACCCTAGCCCAGAATATTCATTTATACTGGGTTACTGGGTCCTGATTGGCTGCCACAGAAACAGCCCCTCTATCCTGCCTGGAGGACCTTTTTTATGCTTCTCTCGCTGAGATGGGGTGTGGCAAGAACCCGGGGATCCTGTAGGGGGCGTCAGAGCTTAATCCACCCCATCACATGGGCCCACAGTCTTGGAATCTGTGACAAATGGATCCCTCAAATATATGGATTGAGAATGCAAAGAAGTGACTGTAGATGAAAAATGACCTGATACAAGCATTGTAATGTTTGTAACACAAGAAAGCATGTTTTATTTAGTTTTGATTCGGCACCATTTCTGTTTCTATTATCTCTGCTTAGTATCACTTAAATCTCTGATCTGTATTCTAAAAATCATGCTTAGTTTTACTATAAACTGTCTCAGTGCTGTATATTAAGGTAAATAATAGATCCTCTCCTGGGTTAACAGGCTAATTAGTGTCTGAGTACTGTTCTTTGGAGAAAGTGGACATAATCATTTCTGAGTGTCCATTAAGAGGGACTGAACTACTACAAGGAGCGTGGAACTGGGGTTTCACTAAGTGTTATTTGCAAGGCAAAATTTAGATTGGCAGGATGGTGAGGAATTTTCTGGTGAGCTGAACTTACTGGTGTGGGAAGGAACAATATTTTCTCTTGCTGAGGCAGAGAGGTTTCACAGTGGATGCTTGTTCTGAGCACCCTCCATAATTGTCAAAGTTGATAACCCCTAATTTCAGCCCTGAAAGGGTCCAGACTTGACAAATTTGTACAGCAGCGGGTGGGAAAGGGAGTAATGTGATGTTGGAGAATAGAAAGATCATACCATAGATCTTAGAAAACTCCTAAGCAATGCACCGATTGTTACTGCAGGTGAGGACACAAACTAAAGAGATGATGTGACGGATCTCTGAGAGGAGTATTGCTTAGAGATTTCCTTCCCATAAATCTCCTTGTTTGTTGATATGCAGCAATGGGAGCAGGAGAACACTCATCACAGTTCAGATGACATGCCAAAGATTCTATGGACCACTTAAACTAAAAGATTTTTGGCTTAAGTCATTCATACTTAACAACCACAAAGGGATGATTTTTTAGTGTAAAATGTATTAAGGCTAAACCATCCTTTATACCTATCTTAGGTATCAATATCCATTACCATCTCACTTGATCCCCCAGGGCTGGCCCACAACATTTTGGCACCTGAGGCAGGGAGCTCAAATGACGCCCCCATGCCCCCTTGCTTGGGCCAAAACTTTAAAAGGTCTCAATTGTCTGGGTCCTAGTGGCAACCCCCTCCTCCTCTCCCACGCCACAGTCTGGCACCTGTGGTAGCCACCTCAGTTCGCTTCATGGTAAGGCCATCCCTGTGATCCCCTCACAGCACCTGACTGAGGTAAAAAAGTTATCTTCATTTAACAGATGGGAAGCTAAAGGTACACACAAACTTAGGCCCAGATTTTTAAAATGTATTTAGGCATTCCAGTGCTCTCCATTGCAATGCCTAATTAATGTAAGAGTCTAAGTCTTATTTTAATAGAGGGTTTTTTTTCCCCACTTAGACTTTGTAAGACCAAGTTCTAATATATACATTCCTTCCAAAATCTACACCAGTGTGATTTGCTCAAGGTCATACAGGAAATGTGTGGCAAAGCAGGGAATTGAACCAAGCTCTAACAAGTAATAGGCTGGTGGTCTAACCACTGAACAGCCCTCTCTATTGCCTTCCTTGATCCTATGACACATTGGTGGGGCAGTCTGAACTTTGTACCACTTCATACTGTACCATTTGTGTTGCTCAACAGAACACACCCCATCTCCACGACTGTGAAACTAAATGTATTAAGAAAGTATGGGTAGATATGTACCTAAGCAAGAGAGCACTCACTCAGTTAAATTGCTCCATAAGAAAGTTGATGTAAAATCATTCTTAATTTGCCTAGCACAGTTGACAGTAAAGCACAGTGACATTCCAGGGACAATTTCTCAATGATATAATACAACATAAGAACGACCATCCAGGTCAGGCCACAGGAACACCTAACCCAACAGCCAGTCTTGCAAGAATGACCAATGCCAGGTGCTTCATAGAGAGTGAACAGATCAGATAATTACCAAGTGATCCATCCCCTGTTGCCCTGTGCTGCACTAATTATGTCACAGGCTTATTGTTTGCTGAAATATATAGACAAGACCCGTGTCCTGCCAAAAGATTTGGGAGCCCAGAAACTTTTCATGGATAAATAGAAGGAAGGAGAAATAACATTAATAAAACATATAGAAGGTTGTTTACTGTCATGTACATATACTTGAATCTTTCAAATTTGGCTTCACTTGGAAGCAGCACAGAGTAATAATCATATTGGTTTATTTTTTTTTAAATATTTTACATGATACTAAGACATACAGATCAAGACTGGCATACTGTCATACAGTTAGCATGTGGCCAGGGCCTTAGAGAGTAGTAAGGCCTCAGCTCCACCAAACTTGTGCATAGAAGACCTACTCAGATAAGCTCTTTAGCTGTGACTTGACTTGAGGGAGCACAACAGTGGTTAAGGTTCCATTACTACTTTTCTTTATGAGCAAGTGGATAGAGCAATGGCTCCACTCTCTCTATTCTCCAGCCAGAAAAGCTGGTAGGAAAGAATCAGAAAACATGTTGCCTCATGCAAAGAGCTGTAGCATCTGCTTCCCTGTTGTAGAAGAGGAATGCCTCCAAACTGCATCTTTCGGTAGTGCAGCTCAGAGGTGTTCCTAAATACACCACATAACATGCAATGCATGCCAATACAGTAATAATAAAAGCAGACTTAGAACACTAAAGAAGCTCTCTCCAAAGCTAACTCCAGCTAGTGGTTACATTGGGTTTCTACCATATTACTATTTCAGAACACTGAAGCCACAGAGACCACCTTATTCGAGTCATTTGATAAACTCTAGAAAGCTATGCACCTACCAACAGCTATCATGGACTTTTTAGGGCGTCAATGGGCACAGAGTCTGGGTATCTTCTTTTTTTAAATGTATTTAAACTTATTTTATGGTCCTGGTGCTAGGTTTACTTACTGTTTATTGCTATGATTATGATTATTTGAATGGAAGTCTAGTTCACAGTACTATCACTTGTATTTGCTATCAAAGCAATAAAAAGTTTGAAAACAGACACACCAGTGTTCCACGTGTTCCAGGAAGGAAATACTGTGAAGGCCAAACATATAGGTTTACTTAAAAAAATCAATCTGGGGTAGGGCAGTGAGGATAAAAGGAGCCAACACAGTTTAAGTTTCATTTTATGTCTTGGCTACACACCATCAATTGTTTCTTAAAGTACAGCTCTGCCTCTGTCACAGTCTCAGAACAAAAATGTAGCATCACAGTTTTGAATGTTTCTGTGTGTAGACATGTGACTGTTCACCTTTACTAGTCCCTTAATTTCCATTCCTAAAAATTCCAGTACTTCATTAAAATTCCATTGAGGGATTTTTCACAGTAATTTAAATCATACCTACAGTAAAGCATATGAAAAGATGCAAGTCTGATAGCTGTTGGAAGGCCAAAACCTGCAAATACAGTGAATCAGGGCCTATGTACACAAAAGCCATTATGATAAAGCCTTTCTTAGAGGAAGCAGCATAGTGAAGAATGGTAAATATTTTCCATCCCAAATCCAAAGAAAATCTGCACTCTGAGAAGTACTATTAGTAGAATGGTTTAATCTTTCTCACTGCACTAATGTTTCATTGCAACTTCATCTCAGTTTGTCATTTAGCATGCTGTTTCTATATGTATGGCAAACCTTCAGCAGTCTACCATATTAGAAAAAGCAATAGCTTTCATATATAACAGGCTGTTAAATGAGTATAGATCTTCTTTGCAGGAGTGCTGAAATCTACTGAACCAAGCTGTAAACCCTGCATGTGATGGAATACCACATCCCCAGTACTTCCAGTACCAGCACCTACGCTTCATGATATTTGTGATAGAAACTAAGCTTCTGTACATATTGTTATTACAGCAACATTGTAAAATGTTGTCTATAAATTCCCTCGCTCTAATAAATGGAATTTAGGGATGCCCTTTTTCATCTTTTCCTCATTCATGGATATTTATTTCTCCTCTACAGAGTTCCACATTCTGAAAGGATTTAGAGAAGTCAAACTCCTTACATTTTATGTGAAACTGGAGGTCAAAGGGGACTGGCCAATAGCTTAGAAGCTAGAATTCAGGAAACTTTATATCTACTATAGATATAAACTATAGATCTCTCAAATACACACTATGTCTGTCTTTTCTCCTTAATGTCCTATTTTCCCCCAAAAGAAATTGGTTTAGTAGAAGGGCAGCTTTTCTGAAAGCTGATATCCACAGGAGGAAGGACAGAAGAATAAGCTTTCTTGGAATATTTCCCACCAATGTGGAGTGATTGACAATGCTTTTGAAACTAAAATGAAAAGCTAGAAAGCAACAGTACTGCTGAAGTTTAATATAGATGGCCAGACAAAGCAAGCGTGGAATAAGTTCATTCAAACCTCGAATAATAAAGAACCAAACTGTAATCGAAAAGGACTGCTTTGAGGGCAGTAAAGAAAATCTATGGAGAGTGAATTGTATCAGAGGCAGGATCATTTGACAACCTAGGAGGTATAGTCATATCTGTCTAGAAAAAATAATGATGAACAAGGCAATGATGGTGCACCGAATGCAAAGTAAATAAAACCCCTCATGATTAAAAAAAAAATGAATACAAGCTCACCACTTCTTCATGCCTGCATTTTCTTACATTAATTCCATTAATCTGTTAAGGGGAAAGAAAGAAAGAAAGATAAGATTATATATCATAAATGCAGATTGCCGTTTACTTTTCTGGAAAAAAAATAATTTAAAAAGTTTTACATACCTGTAGAATTGCGTCTCCTATAAAGAGCAAACCTGAGAGTTCAGCTGTGAACAATAGAAAGCATATATTTCATTTAGATATTTTGTCCAGCATGTTGAATAGACACACACTTTTTTTTCCAATGTATCTAGCATATTACTGCAACTTGGGAAAGCTCTAAAAAAGTGAAACAAATAATACATTTTTTTTAAAAAAACTATCATCAATACATGGCATTGATTCTGATTTCTTACTGTACCAATATTTCTAACTACAATACCAATATATAGATTTTACCAAAAAGTGGATGGGATAAGGAAGGAAGATCTCTACAAAACTTTAATAGGAGATTCCCAGCAGACCATCTTTTGGTCTCCAACCCCCCTTTAACCCTCAGTGCAGAAAATGTTTAAATCTTTTGCTGATTCGAGATAAAACACTGGATTGGGTCCTAAATGACTAAGAAAAGATGGACTTTGCAATGCAGAAGTTTAACATATCCAAGTTCTAAGGAACCATGAAGGGAAGTCCAATCTAGAATCAAGAAGCACTATAGGAATCACTTTCATATACTTTAACTTTACTTTCCCTATGCTTTTAATTGAGCAAACTCCATGTCTTGCATTTTTGCCAATCTCAGCTGCATCTGTATATCAGGAGAGGAAGCCCGTTAGGTAGTGGGGATGCAAACCACTCAAGAGTTTTTGTCCAGTAAAAACAAACACTGTGAATTCCATCCAGAAATTTATCTCAAACCAAATGACTTTGGGTTTCAAGTAAGTCAAAGCAAAATGTTCTTAATCACAGCTACCTCTTTGATGCCTTGCTTAATGTGCATGCTACTTGTAGTCTGAACTCAAAGGCAAATGCAGGAATAATAGTAACCAGGTCACATTAGAAAGAAAGGTTTTTTAGCCATACAAATGTGAAAACATCTTTGCAGTTACACCTTCACACTTTTATACACTGTTCTAGACAAAGGGCTGTCTATCTAATCCCACTAGTGTTTTAGCAGTCTGTTCCCAGGACAGTCGGAGACTGCTTCATTCCTTTCATAATTATTACTGTTTGTTAAACCTTAACTCCCGAATAAACAAACATACACGAAGGGTACGTCTAAACTACATGGCTCCGTCGACGGAGACATGTAGATTTGTTGTTTTGGCAAAGTCAAATGAAGCCGCGATTTAAATGAGCGCGGCTTCATTTAAATTTACATGGCTGCCGCACTGAGCCGACAAACAGCTGATCAGCTGTTTGTCGGCTCAGCGGGGCAGCCATGTAAATTTAAATGAAGCCGCAATCATTTAAATCGCGGCTTCATTTGCCTTTGCCTATGTGTCTCATCTACATGCCTCTGCCGACAGAGGAATGTAGTCTAGACGCAGCCAAGGAGAAAACAAATCCCCAAACATGTGTGTTCTTAAATCTAGGGTAACACAGAATGGAGTAAGTATGTACTAGAATACACAATATTAGTTTTTAAAAATCGCAGACCAGAGTCGGACTTTAAATAAGTTATGATACAAATATATTTTATAAATATTTTTTCTATTTTCTGTATTTAATAATTAAGTGAAACCACTTACTAGTTCATATTTTTAGAAGGAACAAATGATAATACGTCATCACTTTACACAGCACACTATAAAGAAATAAAAGAAAGTCTCTATCTACAAGAATTTAGAATCCAAGGGCTTGATCCTGCAAACATGTATATATAAAAGCATTTTTACTCAAATAAGTAGTGCCACTGATGTCAACATTATTCATATAAATAATGCTATTCACAAGAATGTTTGCAAAACTAATAACTAACTTAGGCACAGCACAGAAGGATTTAAAAAAAAGTCACCAAGACCAAGATCCTGGAAACATTGAAGATAATGGCTAAACTCTCATGGATTTGAATGGAGTGGGGATTTTCATCTCAATTTTTCTGGTCCAGGATCCGATCTTACCATTCCTTATATACAGGAAGTACTTCACATTTGTGAATTGAACTTAAAGGGTGGCTAGTCAGCTTTCCTGAAAAATTGCAAATTAGACACCTGTGCGAAAGTAATTAAATACAGGCAGTCCCCGGGTTACATGGATCCGACTTGCATCGGATCCCTACTTACAAATGGGATGAGGCAACCCCGCACTAGCTGCTTCCCCCCAGCAGGCTAGGGAGACGTGAAGCTAGTGCCCCCCTCCCCAGCAGACCAGGGAGACGCAGAGCGGCTTTTCTCAGCAGACACCTCAGCTTGAGAATAAAGGACTGAGGGAAGTGAGGTGTGGGAGAATAAAACTGAGCTCTGGAGAAATGTTTGGCTAGAGTTTCCCCTACAATATGTACCAGTTCCGACTTACATACAAATTCAACTTAAGAACAAACCTACAGTCCCTATCTTGTATGTAACCCGGGGACTGCCTGTACATTAAAAGGCTGCATAGGATTTTGTTTTTTCTTTTCCCACTAGATTTAGTTTGTAGATCTGAATAACGGTAACCCAGGTACACACCTGTAAACCAGTCTGTGTTATCAAAGACATCTAATGACTGCAACAGGATAGCCCACTAATGCAACAGGGTATCATTATAAAAAAGCTAAAGAAAAGACCAAAGTCAGTAATGAGGCAATGCATAGCACAATATAGTTAGTGCCTGGGACTTAAATGTGAGTTTATTAATGCTGATAATCTCTGGGATGTCTCGTGATTATTTATTGTTCTGCTCCTTTCTTTTCTAAATGGGGAAGGGTGGAATCAATAAAGGTACAATAGTCTGTACCTGACTGATTAGAACACTTTCTTATGAGTCGGCCTTGCCCTGTTCAACTCTTTCACCCTCACGAGCTGAGGATGGAACTGAACCTGGGTCTACTGCATCTCAGGTAAGTGCCACAAACACTGGGTTAGATAGCAGGTGGGTGGCATATCCTCCTCTGGATATTTTTTGCGTGGTGAGTCAGGTGACTCATTAATTCCCCCAAGAAATTACTTAGGAAAGAAATGCCTCTGACATCAGCAGAAAAGGTCCTAATGGTGAATCCCATGCAGAGAGATATGCACCCTCTATAACCTGATTTAGGGGTCTATCTCCATGAACAGGGCAGGGCTTAGAAAACACCTATTTCCTTAGCATCTCAGATTGGCTAGCCATTAACGAATGGCTTCATGCACTAAAGGAGTGTATGGGGTTGCATGGTAGTATCGATTTTTACCGGCACCCAGCTTTCACCTGTGGCTCCACGTAGTTGTTTTGCATGCAGCAATGGCCACACCCCGGACAACAGCTTTGACAGGCCGGCTAAACCAGGTGAGGGTAACCGATGGGACTGAAACCCTCGGTGAGTTAGGGACTTGCTCACCCCAGCATGTGAAGACTGCTTCGACAGATCAGGCAGAGGAAATCCTTATGATTCAACAGCTGAGAAGGCGTTGCAGCAGCACACTGTTGAGTGTGTGGGGCATGTCAGAGCATTTAAAGTGACATGGCCATCCAATGCAGCCTAGGTAGTATCCAGAAGTAACGATATTTTCGTGCCACTGGATTCTGACTTCTGAGGCCGAGAGGGTGGGATCATCTCTGTGCAAAGGCTTTCCCACTATAATATTATTTTTTATGCACAGGTAATGTTGTGCAAAAAAAAAAAAAAAAAAGACGTTGATAATGGGAGCATGGAACGTCCGTATACTCGTGGACCATGAGGACACAGTAAGACCTCTTCGGAGAACAGCCTTAGTTGCTAAAGAGCTTTCACGCTATGGTATTGATATTGCTGCCTTGAGTGAAACCAGGCTTGCTGAAGAAGGATTTCTCACTGAGCAAGCTAGTGGTTATACCTTCTTCTGGAAAGGGAAAGCACAGAATGAGGATAGGATTCATGGAGTCAGCCTGGCCATTAAGACTAGTCTGATGAAATAACTTTCGGACCTGCCTGTCGGTATTAATGAGAGGCTCATGAAGTTATGCCTACCGCTTAATCACAAGCGGCATGCAATAGTCATCAGTGCATATGCTCCCACCATGAACAGCACAGAGGAGACAACTGAACAGTTCTACATTGATCTCAGTTCCATTCTGTGCTCAGTGCCGGCCAACGACAAGTTGATCTTGTTGGGAGACTTCAACGCCCGTGTTGTCTGTGACCACAGTCAATGGGAGGGAGCGTTGGGCAAACATGGTGTTGGTAAGATGAACAGCAACGGCTTATTGTTGTTGAGCAAATGTGCAGAATATGACCTCCTCATTACAAACACAGTGTTAAGGATGGTAAACAAATACAAGACTACCTGGATGCACCCTAGATCAAAACAATGGCACATGATAGATTATGTCATTGTTCATCAGCGTGATATTCGGGATGTCTTTATCACCAGAGCCATGCGAGGAGCAGAGTGCTGGACTGAACATAGGCTTGTCCACACTGTTTTCAAAATATACAGTGCTCAGCATCACCCAAAGCTCATTTGAACAGCCTTTAACATTGCCAGACTCCAGCAGCCGTCTCATTTGCACAAGTTCCAGTCAAGCCTTGATGAAAAGTTGACTGCCAACAGACCATTGATTGGAGGTCTAATTCAGAAGTGGAGCCAGTTTAGAGAAATGGTGATAGAGACAGCGAAGTCAGTGCTGGGTCCCAAGAAACACAATCATCAAGACTGGTTTGACGAGAATAACAGTGCTATTGAGGACTTGCTTGCCAAGATCAAGGCATTTATGGAGTGGCAGAATGAACCAGGCTCCATCTCTAAGAAAGACAGGTTTAAGTTTCTCCAGGCCCAGGCTCAGCGAGAAATCCGCAAAATGCACGATCAGTGGTGGGAGAAGAAAGCTGAAGAGGTGCAACACTATGCTGACTTAAATAAGTCAAGGGAGTTCTTCAGCTCCATCAAGTCTCTTTAGTCCTTCCAAGTCTGGTTTTGCCCCCTTGTTGTGTGCAGATGGAACCACATTCATTATGGATAAGGCTGGCATTAATAACCAATGGAAAGAGTATTTCAGTCAGCTCCTGAATCGTCCATCATCAGTCAGCACTGGAACAAATTCCTCAGAAGCCAACCCTTGAAGACTTGAGAGATCCTCCATTTATTGACAAAGTTAGAAAGGCCATCAGGCAGATGAGTTGTGGCAAGGTATCTGGCAAGGATGGAATTCCCGCAGAATTGTACAAGGCATTTAATGATAAGTCACTGAAGGTTTTGCATAATGTCTTGACCAGTATTGGGAAGAGGAAGAAATGCCATCTGACCTCCGTGATGCTGTGATAGTTGCTCTGTACAAGAATAAGGGTGCAAGAGCCAATTGCGGGAACTACAGAGGTATCTAGCTGCTTTCCGTTGCTGGGAAAATCTTTGCCCGCATCGGAGTCACAATGTGATTTCTGCTCTAATCGCAGTACTGTCGATATGATCTTCATAATGAGACAGCTGCAAGAGAAGTGCCTTGAATATGAACCTCTACTCTGTCTTCATTGATCTGACGAAGGTATTCGACATGGCTAACAGAGATGCATTGTGGATCATCCTCAGGAAGTTGGGTTGCCCAACAAAGTTCATCTCATTCATCAAGCTGTTTCACGACGACATGACAGGAGAGATACTCTCGGATGTTGTGTCATCTGAGAAATTCAACATCTCCAATGACATGGAGCAGGGCTGCGTACTCACCCTTTTTAACCTGTTCTTCGCTCAAGTCCTCACGCACGCTGTCAGAGATTTAGATCTTGGTATTTACATCAGATACCGTTTGGATGGTTCACTGTTTGATTTGAGACGTCTTACTGCAAAGACCAAGACACTGGAGAGGCTTATCACCGAAGTGCTGTTTGCTGATGACTGCGCCCTTATGGCACACCTAGGCTGTGTCTAGACTACATGCCTCTGTCGTCAGAGGCATGTAGATTAGACACATAGGCAAAGGTAAATGAAGCCGTGATTTAAATGATCGCGGCTTCATTTAAATTTACATGGCTGCCCCGCTGAGCCGACAAACAGCTAATCAGCTGTTTGTCCGCTCAGCGCGCTAGTCTGGACGTTCCCCCTGTCGACATCAAAGCCCTTTATCGTTTGTCAACCACCCAGGTATACCTCATCCCAGGAGGCATACCTGGGTGGTCGACAAATGCCTTTGATGTCGACACCCGCGCATCCAGACTACAGCGCTGAGCCAACAAACAGCTGATCAGCTGTTTGTCCGCTCAGCGCGGCAGCCATGTAAATTTAAATGAAGCCGCGCTCATTTAAATCGCGGCTTCATTTGACTTTGCCAAAACAACAAATCTACATGGCTCTGTCAACAGAGCCATGTAGTTTAGACGTACCCCAAGAGTACCACCTGCAGACCATCATTGACAGATTCTCTGAAGCATCTAAACTATTCGATCTCACAGTTAGCCTCGGAAAGACAGAAGTCCTCTTCCAGCCTGAACCAAACCGTGCTCCTCCACAGCCATGTATCACTATTGATGGTACACAACTGAAGGTAGTGGACAGCTTTAAGTATCTGAGCAGCACAATATCAAGTGATGGATCCCTTGACAAAGAGATTACAGCGAGGATCCAGAAAGCCAGTCAGGCACTTGGGAGATTGCATATTAAAGATCTTCAGCACAAAGATATTCATCTGTGAACTAAACTCAAGGTATATAATGCCGTGGTCCACATCGCTCTCCTGTATGGCTGTGAAACATGGACCCTGTACCAGATGGAGCAGTTCCACATGCGCTCCCTACAATCAATCATGTGAGTATGCTGGCAAGACCAAATTACTAATCAAGAAGTGCTTGATAGAACTAGTTCCACAAGCATTGAAGCCAAGATCCTCCAGATCCAGCTTCGATGGTCTGGCCATGTTCTCCGCATGGACGAAAAAAGGATTCCGAGGCAGCTGTTCTACGGGGAGTTGGTACATGGTAGTCACAAACAGGGACCCCCGAAGAAGAAGTATAAGGATAATCTTAAGACTAACTTGCAGTGGGGACAGGCCTTCAACCTCAACAATTAGAACTAGCTGCTGCAGAGAGGACTTACTGGCGTTCCCTTACGAGAAAAGTAGTGACAAAGTTTGAGGATGACCGCCGCCAACACCTTGCAGCTGCATGTGAAAGACGACATAGAGCTGTGTTCTCTCCTGTACTAAAAACTGGCATCCCATGCCCTATTTGTAGCCGCATGTGTGCTTTGACCTTTGGGCTCCGGATCCACATGCGTCTCCACAAATGAAATGCACAACATGTCTTCCTCGGCTCCTGAGAGACAACCAACAAGAACATGATGCACTAAAACTTTTTTTCGCCAATTTCCTTGCACGTTCCTCTCTTGGGGCATGCCTACACAGCAGATTTTTTTGGGGGGGAGGGGGGGAATAACTGACATTATTCCAAAATATCCTTAAAGGATATGAATGGAGACTGCATATCTCCTAGAACTGGAAGGGACCTTGAAAGATCATCAAGTCCAGTCCCCTGCCTTCACAGCAGGACCAAGTATCATCCCTAACAGATTTTTGCCCCAAATGGCCTCCTCAAGGATTGAACTCACAACCCTGAGTTTAGCAGACCAATGCTCAAACCACTGAGCTATCCCTCCTCCCATCCTAGGACATCTCTACACAGCAAACCATTATTTTGAAATAATGGTGAACTGGAGGACTTCTTACTCCGAGTACTGTAACTTCCCTTCAACTAAGGGAAGTTGAAGGATGAGTGTTCTTCCTTTGGCTTCCTGCTTTGTAGACAGCACCAAAAGCCGAATTAAGCTATTTCAACTTCAGCTAAACAACCGATGTAGCTGAAGTTATGTAGCTTAATTCAACTTTTGCCCTGCTGTGTAGACATGCTCCTTAGTGTCAGTTTGGATATTCCCTGACTTCTGCAGCATTCAATGAGACCCGCTATCACCATTCCATACACTGGCCTCTGGGAGGGATTGGAGAGGAACTACAGGGATGGACAAGGTCTGCAAACCATAAGAGACAAGGGTTTCAGATTAGTGAAATAGGTTTTCCTCCACCCTATAACCCCTGCCCAGCCCCATATCACCAATCCAGGAGAAGATATCCCTGAGTGGACACCTTGGTAAGAACAGCTATTCCTTAGGTAGTATACCCTTGAGATTAATTTGCTCCTTAAGGCTTAAAAGATATTCAATTTCCCACACAACTCACACTGTATATGTTTAGGCTTGAATTACAAATACAGTTCAAGACAAAGTAGTTTAAAAAAATATAGGAAATGTTTTCTTCTTTAACATACTTGATTAAACTTAAATCGAGGGTATTGTATTTTCCCTTCCATGGTTGATGGCATTTAACAAATAGGTCTATCTAGACATAACACCATATTATTTGTACATCCTTTCACATACACAAACAAATGTGAATAAGATACAAATAAACAATATATATATACACACACACACACACACACACACACACTCACGTATATGAATCACAGACTTTATTGTAACCTTTGACCATAATGTCTGCCCTTCACCAACTAATCTATCTCCTGGGGACTCATTCCACCATTCCAACAGCTTTGCACAATAGCCCTTTAACAAAACCAACAACAACAAAAAACAAAAACAAAAACAAAACAAAAAAACCCTGAGGCAGAGACATTGTCTTTTTTTTCCTTCCAAAAATGGAATTTAACTACAAAATCAAACCTCGCCAAGATCTAGGGTGGCTAATGTCAAGTCCTGAGTCAATGACAGCTTTTCTGTGCATATTCAGTGTCAGTCCTACCCATGATGTAGCCTACGGTGCCTGCCAAACCTGCAAGGGAAAAGAAGTGAGGCTCTGCCATTTTCCATCCCTGCCTGCCCACTTCCAAGCCAGCCAGCAAAGACAGACAAAGAACAGCTCTTTGTAAGTGGTTTCGCCAACCCCATGCCAGTGTCCCCAATGTGGGTATCAATTTCAGAGGAATAAGAGATGTAAAAAGAATCAAAATCTGCATAATTATCTTTTAGTAAGATAGAAAAGACTATTTTCATATTAGGAGACATACAGAAGTATGATTTTTTGCATGGTTTCATTGTGAAAAAAACAATCTTCACCCCCCCAAAAATACTAGCCACTGTTCTATGCTTTTCTTTGTGTGTGAAAAACTTAATTTAGTGGAAGTTCACTAGGTCACACATGTACAACTGATACATCAGAGTTATGAACAATTTGTAATATCGTATCTCAAAGCAGCCAGCAAAACCAAAACAAGTAAGATGCCTCAGTGCTTTAAGCAATGGGCTGAAATCCATAAAACCGCACCTATTTTTAGGCACCTACCTCTTTGTTCTTTGGAAATTTTGGAAATGACCACAGGAATATTATGTTCTGCTCCACCCTAGAATTAGAAAACAATCATATCTCACTGCAAATATTTTCATTTGTAAGTATGTCTATAACCCCAATTGTCTCCTGCGCACTTTTCTGAGGTAAACTTATTTTCTAGACAAAAATTTAATGCACTCTATATAATAGCTTTCTTTCTGTTTTTCTAATGCGATGTCAAGCAATTACTTATTGCCTCTCAGAAAATCGGTTGTGCAGGTTGTTAACTGAAAAATAGACAATATTCTATAAAAGTAAAATAAAAATTATTGCAGCTTTCTCCAAGTTTTCTAGAAATTACTATATCAAATCCATGTTATACAAAGGGGAAATAGGCATAATCCTGTAATGACAACCATGCTGTGATCATTTTTATTTTCATGCTGGCAAGAAACAGACAAACAAAAGGCAAAGATAAAGGAGAGGTTTGTACATCAGATTTTGATTTATGTCTGTTACCACATACAGCAAGTCAGCAAGCAGCAGAATAAGTACAAGGAACAAAAAAGGGAGCAAGAAGTAATGGAGCAGCAGGTATTCACTAAAGAAAACAAAGTGGGCCACATTGTATAAAGAAGCATTCAGCTTTACTACTCCACTCAATGTTCCCTGGTGGGTTTGTAGACCTGGATGGTGCTAAAACTAACATTAAAAGTAAAGGTAAAATAATAAAAGAGAGAGAGAGAAAGCAAAGGAATTAAGAGTAAGCTTCGGCAATGGCCAAATGCCTATAGCAGAGTACTCTCCTCTACTAAGCAGTTACTTTGATCTCTTATGTAAATAGCATGGTCTAATGGCCTACTCCCCGAAATGAGAAACAGGTTTCGCGTTCTAAATCCACTGGCCCTTCTTTCTGGTGTCCCAACTTATTTGAGGAACTGCCCCGCCCAGAGAAGAGGTTACCACTGCCCCAACAGCCTCCAAGAGCTGCAGAGATGCTACTGGCTGGCCAGTGCAGCCCCCACCATCCTGGCCTGGTCCAGGGCAGCAGCTGTTGGCCAGGCAGTGCAGCCACTGTCACCCATGTCAGCCGTGGGGGCAGCTACTGGCCACCTCCACCCCAGCCGTGACTCCTACAGCCCTCCCACCCTCACCACTCCTGGGCTTTCCAACCCTCTACCTTAACCCTTTCTCCCCTTCCTCTGCCCTAAGCCCCTCAACCCCTGCCCTGACTACTCCACTTCCATTCCTGCACTCCCCACACCCCCTGCCCTAAGCCCATATCCCCAAGCACCTGTCCTGCTTTCTGCCCCCTCTCCCCATTGTCTCCAAGGACCCAGGCAATGCTGCATAAATCTTCTAGTCTACTATATATTTGAAAAAGTTTGTCTGTTTGTTCAAGAACTCCTTCTGAATGGCGAGCGCTAGGACCACTAAATTCAGTATCCAATTTGCTCTTATCATAACTTCAAGCAAAGTATGCCCACAAACCTGGACCTGCCCCAGCCAGGAGACATAGATTCCTACCCTAGCTGTGCCTGCTGGAGCTGCAGAGGCTATGGAGAGGTGCTTCTCACCTGGTCCCAAGGTGTGAGAGAGGCCTTGGGTTGTTCTTGCTTCCTGAGGCAGCCTACAAACTGAACTCTTTCTCTCCAGCCCCTCCCCAGAACAATGATTTAAATGAAGAAAAATAAAAATTAAGTGAGTTAAGGAAATGAGCAATGCAGAGTTAATCTTCTAGTATACAACATTGTTCATTAGTTTAGCAAGAGGGTATGGGAAATCTGCACACGTTCCATACAGCATTGTGCTAGATACTGCTGCAATACTTAACCTGATTCTCCCCAAAACTCTCCTAGTGGATCAACACACACATAGGTTAAAATGTACATTTAAATAACAATCTCTGGAAGCTCCTGGGGTTATTATGCCAGGGGCATAATGCCTTAAAGCAGTGGGAAGCATGGCTGTTATCATGCTGTTTCATAAGATTCAGCATACACTTCCCTCTCTCCTCTATGGACCACGGGGGCTGGATCCTCTGAGTGGGAGAAAGCTCTGCTAGCTTCGTGAAATTCCATCATACTGGCATGGAGCCAGGCATAAATCAAACGCATGGGGATCATTCTAATAATTGGTCTGTAGGCTTTTGTGATGTATTCTTCTTCAAACGCCCAATATCAGGGGTGTCTGGTGTGTGTGTGTGTTTGTGTCTATGTGTGTTATAGCGCCAGGCATTTTAATGTCAGACTCATACTCAGCTGGCTTTTTGTGCCGAGTATTTGGGGGGAAAAGAATAATGAAAACAGGGGAGCAAAGCCTATTTTACAGGTCACTTAGAGCCAGAGTAATATTACTGTAAAGCTTAATTTCTTTAATGAACAATCAATTTTATTGCCTCCTTTCTATCATGCTACACTGTCAGATTATTGAGAAACACAATGTCCTTTCAGAAGTTATACACCTAGCAACATATCTCTCAGAATCTGTGCAATTTAATCTTGTTAGTAAAATATGAAAACATGACAAATACTATATAGTTCATTCATTCATTCAATCTCTAAATCTCTGTGCTCGCACTTCAGCACAATGATTTATTAATGGCTGTTCAGAAGACAATTTAGAAGCTTGAGAAAATAAATCCATCTGAATTACTGACTGAAGTTTATTGGATAAAATTGACCTCGGAGGCTACAAAAGGAGTCTAATTCTACTCCAATTGAAGTCAATTAAAGTTTTGCTATTGACTTCACTGGCACCATGATCAGGTCCAACATCTAAGGAGAAACTAGATCTGTGTTCCCTCAAAGAAACACATCAGTTTTCCTTTAGTTAGATGCAAAACAATTGATCTCAAAGTGATAGCCAAACTACAGAAGTAGATAACAGCAAAATGAAAAAGATCAAGAAAGGTAACACAGAAAAAACAGTAGGAGAATACAGGTTGGGCCTCCCTGGTCCAGGATTCTTGGGACCTGATTAGTCCCAGATGAGGGATTTTTCTGGATCGGAGAGGTCATTTCAGGCAGCCTCCCTCCCTACTGCCTCAAAGTGCCTCCTTCCCCCACCAGGCTTCCTGGCTGCTCCTGCTGCCAAGCTGAGCCCAAACTAGCTCTCATAGCACAAATGAGCCACACACCAGCTTCAGGCCCTGCTTTCCACCCCACTGTCCAGCTGAGCAATGTGCCAACTCCTCCTGCCCACATGCCGCCCTCCGCCCCACGCATCGCCACACAGCCCAACTGAGCTGTGCACCGGCTCCCGGGTCCCCACCCCCTTGCAGCAGACCAGGACTCTGATCCTGGAACATCTGTGGTCATGCCAGACCATGAATGTTGCCACACCAGAGAATCCTGGATTTTAGAGGTGCAACCTGTAATTTAACCTCCCTAGACACCAAGGCTACATCTAAACTATACCCCTCTGTCAGCAGAGGGATGTGAATGAAGCACTTTGAAAGTGCAAATGAAGTGGAGATTTAAATATCCCATTCTTCATTTGCATAATCGTGTACTCCTGAGGATCTTTCGAAAAGGTGCTCTATTGTCGAAAAAACCACATCTAAACTGTGGTTTCAGTTTCGAAGCGGCGCCTGTTCGAAACAGCACTATGACACGATTATGCACATGAAGCACGGGATATTTAAATTCCATGTGCTTCATTTACATCCCTCTGCCAACAGAGGGGTGTAGTTTAGATGTAGCCTGAGTAACAAGTTTAAATATAGCTGTCCTTATACAAATAAATAAATAAATAAACAAACCCATAGAAGCAAACTAAAAAACCAAAAAAACATCAGAAATGGACTATGAAGACAAACAGCAGAGCTGCGATTCCTTTGCAAATTTAACACAATCAAATTAGGAATAAATAAGGATTTAGATTGGTTATCTCACTACAAAGGAAAATGTTCCTCTCTTGGTATTCATGCTGCCCCACTCTCTCCCTCCCCCCCCCATCAACAGCTTTTTGAGCGAGCCACATCCGCCATGATTGAATTGGTCTCCTTAATACTGGTCCTACACTTGCTAAGTATCTCCCTTCTTGTGATATGTTAGTGTTAGTGTGTGTGTGTGTGTGTGTGTGTGTGTGTGTGTGTGTGTGTGTATGTACACGTACACACACCCCGTCTCTGTGATTTTGACTCCATACCTCTGACAAAGTGTTTTTTACCCATGAAAGCTTATGCCCAAATATATCTGTTAGTCTTTAAAGTGCCACAGAATTCCTCATTGTTTCCTAGACTAAGACACTTATGACAGTGTGTCTCGCTATATGCTTATAAACTACATTATATAATAGGGTCCCAATTCCTAGATTTTTAAAGTCAGAAGGGACCATAATGAGCACTTACTCTGACATGCTGCATAAAACAGAGCATAGACTTCAACCTTGGAATTCCTGTGTCACGATAATCTCTTGTGGTTGAACTACAACTATTTTAAACACAAAAATCTTTGTCTAAACACTTCAGTAAAGCAGAATAAATTGTATTCCCTTGTAAATTGTTCCAGTTGTTAATTGCCCTATCTTAACAATGCAGGTCCTCTTTCTAGTGTAAACATATTTAACTTCAGTTTATAAGCTTTTGGAGTCAGTTCTGATTGATGTCCTCAGCAATACACAATTAACTATCAAAACTGAAAGAAATATTTTCTTCCTAATGCATCATGATTTAGCAACTCTGTTACAATTTGTTTCAACTCTCCTGGTGTCTGCTTCTTACTTAATATTTGTATTGCACTAGAACTTTAGGATTTAATACAGGGTCTGGGACAGTGGTCTAAACACTTTACAAACACATACAAAAATACTGTCCCTGTTTTTTAACTTAGTAGTATTTAATGGCTGCATACTCTCCAGAAAACTTGAGAGCAATGCGCTTATTTCAGGGGAGAGAACATAATTCCCAAGGACTCTTTCACTTATGTCCATTAAGCAAAGTTATTTTGTTATTATTTGCCTGTTACTTAATAAGATTGCAACCTCCCATCCCCACATTTTGTATTACAGTATTCAAGTAACTTCAAGATATAATATACTTTAAAAAATCTGTTTTATTGAGTTTTCCTAAAATATTCACCTTCCAAATTGAATCACAAAAATCCTGGATTCTAGACCCATATGCTGTTTTTTCCTTATACTAGCTACAGAATTTCATGCTTCCTTATTATTAACCTGACAGCGATATGTAGTACTTTATGATTATTGAGTAAATAACAACCCATAATGATATTTCAGGAGAGCAATTTGCTTGCCACTGACTTAGTTCATAAGCAGTTTTGGGCACAACGTAGCAATTAGTTTTCCATGAGTGGGGTACTTTAAGGTCAATAAGATAAAAGCATAAGGATCAAGACATATTTTAAGAACTAATATTTCTATTCAGCAGTTTTTTTTATCAATGACAACACAAGGGAAGTGCACATTCATCTCTTTCTCTGGGACTTAATGTCAGTCATATGCATAAATTGAGACTATTTTGCATACATATATAGTATATTTGATTTTCTCCTCTGTGGTCTTAAAGCTGAAAAGTGCTGCATTTAGAAGGAAGATAAAATTAATGCCATGTTATCTACCTTGTATTTCAAGGATGAGGTAA